GTTGTTGTTTTATTTCCCGGGAAGGTATTTGTGTTTTTGGTGCTAAAGTGATGTGTTGGTGTTTGTTTTTCTGGCCTTGTTTGAGCAATGCGTGATTTTTGTATACCCTTTTCGTACGAGTTGTGTACGTGTGTGTGTTGTGTGTGTGTGTGTGTGTGCGGATGTGCGTGCGGTGTGGTGACCCTGTTTAAGCACGCGTGTCTGTGTTTTGTTCTTTGTTTTCTCTGACAGTCCACTTTCAAACACTTCTGTTTTTTCGTCTTGGATTCTTTCCTTCCATAGCACAGTCAATCTCATCCTTTTGGGATTTTCTCCTCTCCTTCCTTCTGTTCCTTCTTCCTTCCCTTTTTCTTCCCATATTCTCTCTTCTCAAATTTCTTCCCCCTCCATCTCCTTCCCTCAGTCTCCCCTCATTACCATCATCATTTCCTTCTCCTCCTCCTTCTTCTTCTCTTCCTCCTTCTTCTTATATTTCCTCCTCTTTCTATTCTATCTCCTCCTCCTCCTTCTTCTCCTTCTTACCTCTCCTCCCGCTCCTCGTCTTCCTTTCTTTTTCTTATCCCTCCTTCTCTTCTCCTCTTCCCCTTTCCTCCACTCCTCCTTCCCTATCCTCCACTTCCTCTCCTCCCTCCCTACCCTCCTCTCCTCCTTTTTTCCTCCTTTTTTACTCCTTCCTTCCTACCTCCTTCCCTTCCTCCCTATCCTCCTCTTCCTCTCTTCCTTTCGTATCCTCTTCTTCCTCTCCTCCTTCCCTACCTCCTCATCCTCCTTTTCCTCTCCTCTTCACTATCCTTACCTCTCTTCCTCTCCATCCTCTCTCCTCTCTCCTTCTCTATCCTCCTCTTCCTTCCCTACCCTCCTCATCCTCCTCTTCCTCTCTTCATTTCCTATCTCCTCTTCCTCTCCTCTTCCCGTGTTTCGCCTGACCGACATACCGCGTCGCCCACCACAGCGCCACAGCGTCCGTCGGAGGGGGGGAGGGGAGGGGGGTAGGAGGGGGAAGGGGTACAGGAGGGAGGAGCAAGGGGGGGTAGGAGGGAAAGGGGTATAGGAGGGTGGAGGGGGGGAAGGAAGAACTAAGGAGGGGGGAGGGGAAGGGAGATGTAAGAAGGGGGGCGGGGGGGGGGTGGCGTCGAGATGGGTGATGGCCCTGACCGCTGTGGCACACTCGTTGGGTTGGCACTGTCACGCCCCTCGTCACGCCCGCAGGCCCGGCATCTCTGGCACCGAGAGAATTGGAATACAATGGTTATTTTGAATCTTATTTTTTCGATGTATTTTCTAAAAGAAGAAGAAGAGAAAGAAAAATTGTTTTATCTCTTATCTCATAGCTTCTTCCTCTATTTTTTCCCCGTTTCTTGTAGTTCCACATCCTCTTCCTCCTTTTTTTATTCCTTGACCTCCTCTCTTTTTTTCCTCCTCTCCCACGTTTCGTATTTCTCTT